TAAAGCCACTCAAACTCTATGCTATTATTTTTCTTGCCAATTCTCCCTTTTCTCTGCTCTTTCCCTCTTGAAGGGATATTTCCTTCTGAGGACATTGTCAGTTTTTCCTTTAATTCGTGCCTATCTTGATGTGTAAACCAAGGCATTGGAGTGTTGGTGGCAGCCTGTTAACACATGAGTTTTTGATCAGCCGGGTATCTGGCACATGCTGTTAAGAGATCCAATCTCACTATGCAAGCCACCTACACATGGAAATTTTCCTGTGTCCAAAAATATTCCAATGAATACTCTGGGGTTCCACCCAAACTTTATCTCTTACCAATCTGCAGCTGAACTCTCAGGGTATGGATAACCAGTGTGAGTCCCTCCAAGGAGAGACTGCTCACTCCATACCAAACAAATGGAAATTTCTGTTCGTACGTGGAACTCTCAATCAGTTTGGTTTGGATAGTCTTGAGCGTGCCACTGGTTTTCCATGTGTTTCTGACGCCACACTGACCAAAGAAAAGAATGATATATGTATGGTGTGTAATTCCCAATTGGTGGTGAAATGAAGCTTGACATTGTTTCAGTTCAAATTATGTGTCTTGACTGCGAAAGCCTAATGTGTGTCATTATCTGGCATGAATGCCAGCTTGGATATATTATACAGAATAACACAGGCTAGCTACAGTGCTCTTTAAGGACGCACCATATGTTGATAAACCTCTTGAGCCTCAGTTTAGCATCGATGCCATCATTTATTACCATCTGTTTTATAATCTACTCCTTTGTCATATATGGATTATATGTTAACCTTTATTTTTACAGCTGTTACTCAGACTGAATGGATGTGACTGAACTCTTTCCAGGTTAGATCCAGTGACCTCAGTTACATCCTGCATTCTAAAGATTACAACACATTACCTACAACAACAACAACTTGCAATTATATAGCGCCCTTCATGGTGGGTAGCTTAACAGTGGCGGAGTCTGACCCCGAGCCAGGATGAGAGGGAGGGGGGGAGGTGACCGTAAGCATGACCACAAAGAAAGGTCTTTAGGAGTCCTGTAGCTCAGTGGTTAGAGCACTCGCTTTGAAAGTGAGAGACCTGAGTTCAATTCCATGAAGGGCGAAACCTTGGGCAAGTTTCCTCACTCCACACAGAGCCTAATAATAATCCCTCCAAAACCAAAAACAATAATAAATTGGTCATTTTCAATCCACGACTGTTTGTGGGACATTGCTGTGCGCAATTGGCTGCCGCGTTCGCCCACAAATATACAGTCAATTCACTTTACAGTGTGTTCTGTGAAGCGCTTTGGGACGTCCTCCCGAGTGAAAAGCGCTATATCAAATGCAAGGATTATTATTATTAAGTGGGATTTAGTGACATATCTGACTCCCGCATCCCATAGATGGATGGTTAAAAATCCCATAGCATTATTCAAAAAGAGAAGGGAGTTTCTTCCGGTGTCCTTACCAACAATTACCCCAGATAAAAAACGATGGCTCACTTAACGGCTGTTTGTGGGGACAAACCGCATTTGCCTACAAAATACGCAGCCACTACACTTTGAGGAAAATCTTATGAAGCATTTTGAGAAGTCCTGACAGCGTAATAAGGCGCTACAGCAAATGCAAGGATCATTATAATTATTGCTGTACCGACAAGCATCCTCACCTTAGAGGTTTTCCAATGGAGTCACTGTAAAAAGGAGTGGCTCCCAATGAGTTACTGTAATTGTTGATGCAATTAACACTCAGGGGTGAATAATTAACCTCTCCTATTTATTTCCCAACTAAACATCTATTTGTCTTGCAGCAAGATCTAACTGATCTTAAACTGGGGGGGTGGGGGGGAGGGAGAGAAACCCAGTATCAGCCAATATCAGAGCAATATCAATTCTATAATGAGGTTTGATTATTTTCTATGTGTTCTGTAATCGAACCCTCTACTGCTCTTATATCTTCCACTCTCACTCTGTTCTCTGTTGAGAGAGCTCACACTGATATAAATCCCTCGGCTCTGATTTTTCTCTGGTTACAAAAAAATGTCGGGTTTAGCTCAAGTTTGGTGCATTTCTGCTGCAGCAGCCGCCAGCAATGTCCTTATTCGTTGTTTAAAGGCATTGCACGTTTTAATTGCAGATGGTAAACGGGACCTCTCTTCTCCTCCACACCCCCCCACCCCATCCCTACACCCCCCCACCCCACCACCACCACCACCACCCCCCAATGGGTAGAATAGATCACAAATAAAAGGATGCATCTGAAAGATAAGCCAAGCTAACCATTGGGACTGGATGAGATGCTTTTCTTTGGGCATTTTAATTCTCCCAGTGTCTGGGACTGGATGAGATGCTTTCCTTTGGGCATTTTAATTCTCCCAGTGTCTGGGACTGGATGAGATGCTTTCCTTTGGGCATTTTAATTCTCCCAGTGTCTGGTGCAGGTTGGAGCAAATTGCAAACCAGTTAGTGAGTGGAGAACATGTACCACGATTTGCATGATAGTAAGTGCGACTTACTCATGTCAACTCCCCCATCTCGGTTTATATTACTATATTCAAATTGTGGGGTGACCTTTTCTTTTTTTTACACACACACACACAAGTTTCCAACAAAGAGAGACAGAAATAAATGTCAAAAAAGCATGAAATGACCAATATATATAGATATATAGATATAGATATATCCACTTCCCCTCCTGTTTGCAACGCAGTATTTCACTGCCACTGTCGATGGTGGATTTTAAACCTTAAATTCGGTTCAAAATCTAAGTTATAAAGTATGCATTTACTATGCACATACTTTACAACTTACATTTCCAACCGAATTTGAGGTTTAAGTGCGCACCGCCAACAGTGGCAGTGAAATGCTGCGTTGCAAACGGGAGGGAAAGCGGATCGTTCGGGAAAGAAAGCGGATCGTTCGGGAAAGAAAGCGGATCGTTTGGGAAAGAAAGTGGATCGTTTTAATGCAGTCAAATAAAGCGCCTCAAATCAACCCTCGCCCTCCCTGTGAACCCGGCTTGGGGCTGGATTAGAAGTCGCAGGTGGTTGAATGCTGTCGGGGAGGGGGTGGGGTGGGGGAGGGGGTGGGGTGGGGAGGGGGTGGGGGGGGGGTGGGGTGGGGGTGGGGGTGGGGGAGGGGGTGGGGAGGGGGATACCGAGTGAGATCCGTCCCTGAAACTGTTACCAAAAGACAACTGCACGGATTTTCCTGTACGTGGGACAGGAATGTCCACTCCTGGGGGAGTGGGAAAAACAGGTTTGCGTTAACGTTTTAGGGTCAGTGCCCTGTGCTATATATATATATATATATATACATAATATATATATATGCATAATATGTATAAATATATATATATGCATAATATATAAATATATATATATCGTCTCTACAACTCCAAATTAATTCAGATTTCTGCTAATCTTTCGCGTTAAAGGTCGGTATATAAATACAGTCGATCTGCCTGTAATGCACTCTGCAAACATGCCACCACACACCCACACACACACACACACACACATACATACATACATACACCAGAGAAGTCCATGTGTCAAGGCTGCGTTGGGAGTAATAATGTATGCACAGCCCTTGTGACAAAGGTTGTATTGGATTGACACCTGTATTGATGGTGTATTTTGATAGCATATAGTGTGTCTACGATGCATTTGGATCCGCAAAATAAACTACCGTATCGCCAGCATCTAAACGGGATGCCATTATTTGTTCCCTCTTTATATATATATATATGTGTGTGTGTCTATATTATGTAAAAAAAATGTAATGTGAGTTGCTAAGAGATATTGGAATAAGTCGCGTCGGTGTGAAGTGTTGGGGGTTTAGTGTATGGAGAGGATCTCTTTTTAAACAGGACCCAGAGAGAGAGAGAGAGAGACTGGGATCTCTCCATTCTGGTCCTGGATCAGATGCCCATCAGGGCCACACTGTACGACAAGGATTGTCAGAAATGACAATTGGTCCCACATCCCAACCTTCGCAATGCATCAAATGTCAGAATTATGACAGTATTACATGATTAGCAGATAATCTCACCCGACATTTGTGAATTAAAATCCAGCAGGTGCAAAAATGCACAATTTGGGTGTTTTGTTGTTGCTTTGTACGTAAAGGCTTTATATATATATATATATATATATATATTTTAAAAAGAGTCTGACCAAGAAATACTACTTGGTTAAAACACCTTCGACAGAGTCCAAAATAAAATAAAATGAGATAAAAATCGTTTGCAATTCACGCCCTTTTTTTTTTGCATTTAGTTTCACGTTTTTGTTTTTGCACTTCTGCATTACGTGCGGTTCGTTTCATTTGACACAACAGCATTGTTTATCATTTTGATAATAATGTTCCAACCTGGGCTCCAAATGCACATTTTCCCCTAAAAAAAAATTAAACCGTTTAGTTATGCAAGTATGAGGCACACTTAACTGAAATGATTCTACATCTCCTCTCCCTATTGCTCTTGGTGTCCCAGTTTATTCCATAAACTGAAATAATCCATGAAATAATCAGCAACTGTAGAGTACACACATAACATAACTATTTCGCCTTTTAAGCGATCCGAGACCATTAAAATAAAAAGTAAATTTGTAATGAAAGTGTCAGGTTAACGGTTTCTCTTATTATTATTATTATACAGCAAATGCATTCAGATAACAGGACCACCGACTCACTGCACAGCACAGCACAGCACACGAACGATTCCTTCACATAAATATTGCCCAAGAGTCATAGATGCACGAAAAAGTCATTACTAACATTGAGATCCAACCGGATTTTAATAACAGAGGGAGGTGGGGAGGGTGGGGAACAGGTACCATTAATAATGTGCATTCTTTTGATCATATAAATATAATTTCCTGACACATCTCACATATCTATAGCATCTGATAGTACTGTATTTAAGCAACTGCACTTGCATTGCACACCCCCACCCTCTCTAAAGCACACACATACACATAGACAGACACACCATCATCACCCACCTGCTTATTGCTGAGTTCCTTTTCCAGATCCTTGTACTTGTTATGCCAAACCAAATAATGCAATGGATATTTTTCTGCCACCTTTCTCGCGGAAATCATTTTGCTCTCATTCTTGTCTTCCAAGGACCATTCAAACTACCTTCGGAGCAGCCAAAGAAGAAGGGGAAAAAAAACACCCCCACACACACCCACCACCCTCCTGGTCGCAGGCACTGTATATATTGTTCGACTGCTGAGCGCCAGGCGATAGATAGGAAGCGCTGCAATTCTTGATTTTTTTTACTGTATGGAATAAGAGGAAGTGGCTGAAAAATAAAAAAAAAAGAGGGAGGAATCACCAGAGCTTGTGGGGAAAATTGGTATTGCATTGGAAATGCATTCACGGTGTGAAGCTCAAGGACCACATCAGGAGAAGAAAGATGCAATGCAAATGCAGAGAGTTCATTTTTAAAACTGATATTCTAAGCCTGGAAAGGATCGTTTATTTCGCACCCCCCCCTCCCCCCTCCCACCCTCACCCTCACAACCCCGAGCAAAAAAAAAAAAAATGTTTTAACAATAATAATAATAATAATAATGTGCATTGCTTTATACTTTATGGTCCACCCTTTGGCTTCTGCATCAGTGGGTGCCCCGCGAGCTCATGGGAGTTGTAGTTCATCTCAGCTTTAACCTGAGGGTTTGCTAATGAAGTGTGTCGTGTGTTTTTTTTTGTGTGCGCGTGTGTGTGTGTCGGAGGCGCCGCGTATCCGCTGGGTCGGGTTTAGATCCGACGTGTGAAAGGAGGCGACTCAGAGGTGGCTCCTGGCTGTTAGTTAAGGGAGTGTTAGAGGGAGGGGGAACTACAACTCCCAGAATACCCCCGTGGCCGTCATACCCATTCGGCGCATGCGCTTTGCCCCCCCCCACCTCTTTCACGGCGGTGGTGGGAGGGAAGTGTGAAACAAAATCCTCCCCCCCCCCCCCTTCCCCTCCCCGAAAGTCCCGCCCCTCGGGCGCCCTTCTGATTGGCGGTTGCTGACGTAGCTCGCCCGGGTGGGGGGGGGGAGGCCAGCCGCCGATTGGCGCGGGCGGGACGTCAATCTTCTGACACGCGTGGGAATCCCACGGAGCAGGTTGGGGCGGCGCGCGCGGGCGGGCTGATGTCATTTCCTGGCTGCTCGCGGCCGCTGGCGGTTGAAGCGCGCGCGCGCGCGTGTGTGTGTGTGAGTGTGTGGGGTCGGGGAGGGGGGCGGGCGCGCGCGCGCGCGCGGAGTGGTGGTGGTGGGGGGGGTGAAGGAAGGGCGCGAGCGAGAGAGAGAGAGAGAGAGAGAGAGCTGTGCGGCTTTTTAAAAACCAACGGCCGCTGAGGAGCCAGAACCGGGCCGCGCTGAACCCAACCGGTCTCTCTCTCACTCTCTCTATACCCCACCCGCCCGCCCGCCCGCTCACCCCTTCTAGACGTCGAAAGGCCTCGACGGAGAGTTTTTTTTCCGAAAAAAAACAGCGCCCCCCCCCGACCCCCCCCTCTCCCTCCCATCCCCGAGATGTCTCGCAAGCTGCGGCCCAACGAAGTCTGCGCCGACTGCAGTGCCTCAGGTACGTACGTGCTGTGACTCGATGGAGACTTGCAGGAGGAGGAGGAGGTGGTGGTGATGGTGGTGGCGGCGGCGGCGAGGCCTTGTCAGGCTGAGCTCCCTCCTCCTCGAGAGCCGGTAGATTGCGGGGTGTATGCGAGTGGGGGTGGGGGGGGGAGGCGAGGAGTGTGTCTCTGTGTGTGTGTGTGTGTGTTTGTGGCGGTGGTTGGGGTGTGAGGAGTTAATACAGGTGGTGGGGTGGGGAGAGTGAGGGTATGTGTGCGTGTGGGGGTGGGGGGGGAGGTTAGTGTTAGGGGACAGTATGTGTGTGTGTTTGCGGTGGGGAGTGTGTATGTGTATATATTACACACACGGGGGGGGGAGAGAATGTCTGTGTTCAAGGGGAGTGTGTGTACAGGGGTTAGTGTTATGAGGAGTACCTACGGGGGAGGGTATATTGGGGAGTGTGTGTGTGTACAGGGGATAGTCTTGTGAGGAGTGCGTACGTGGGGGGTGGGGAAAATATTGGGGAGTGAGTGTGTATACAGTGGGGGGGAAGAATGTCTGTACAGGGGAGTGTGTGTGTATACAGGGGGTTTTATGAGGAGTGTGTACAGGGTGGTACTGTGTGTGTGTGTGTACAGGGGAGAGTGTATGGGCGGTGGGCGAGTTAATTGCAATGATGTCTCCTTCTGTTAAACTACAGCCGATGGGGCTGAATGACTCTGAGAGAGTCATTCGTGCAAGTGCTGAGGTGCAGCTGTATTTAACTGTGTTTATTGATTGGGGTTGAATAATAAACTGACCTATCATCTATCCTTATTAGACTGATTTACCCCCCCCTCTCCCCCCCACCCCACACATGTCAATGGTTCATTGATTAATTTCCCTGTGTCTTATCTCTTTTTTCTTTCCCAACTCTTTCCCCAAACTTTGGTTCCCCCCTCCCGCCCTTCTTTCCCGATCATGACAAATTCAATTTCTGAGCACCTTTCACATCAGGAGGACTTCCCAAAGCGTCGATAAGTGCAGTTAAACATTAGTCTTTGAGACTGCATCTGCCTATGTGTGTGTGTGCATGCACTTGCTTAAATCCAGTCCCATAATGGGCGAGAAGAGAAGGGTGTGGGGTTTGCAATGATTTCCAAAACTTAGTATTGATTCTAGTATTTGTTTCAAGGGCTAATGCCTCGGAAATCTCTGCCATCCGTCAGCAATGATGATTGAAATTTTGTTGATATGATAGCCAATAATGTTGTCAGTGGTGTTTATTTTATAGGAAAAGTGTAAGGGAGGGAAGAGGACATGTTAATGTGCTTTTAAAGCCCTTCGGTCATGTAGCTTAATTCCTTAGTTCTAAATGTTTTTCCATGCTCATTGTGTTAAACAGCCGAGGGCAGAAGCATGAACAGTTCTGTGCCAATTTATTCCCAATGTTGGAGATTTTATCTGTGTGTGACAATTTTGCAGACTTTTTGATAGCAAAACAATTGTTGAATTTAGGGTTTGTCAATGGCAATAGAGGTTCTTGTTGTAGGTAAATTTTGTATTATTTATTTGGAAATTATAATACTGTTTTCTAAAGGAAGTGCTTGAGACTTGCATGTCTTAAATTAGAATTCCCTTATGTTTTGATGTAATCCTTATCTCGCTGTGCATTGCCACTTGTTCAGGCTTTCTGTGGCTTTTATGATATTTTCCTGTTTAGATTATGTTCACTTAAGCTTGCAGTGCACATTAAATCTTTAAATGCGTCTGTTTGTACCCTATTTCCTGCTTTCCTGTGTTTTTTTTAAAAAGCAGTAAAATGTTTTGGCATAATGTGGATGTCAGCTTTTAGGCTGTTCCGCAGCCAAGCAGAGGAACAGATGATGTAGTAAGCCTATTGCATATGTTGCTGAACAAGGTGCCACCAGGGAAATGGGGTCAGGGCTGAAGCGGGGTGGGGGGCAGGTGGTTGGGAATGCGCAGCTGGAGGTTCCTTAATTAGTACAGTTCTAAAATGGTGGGCTTGGAAAAGTAGTTCTGCTCTTTCCTTTGCGCTTTACTAAAAATTGAAGTATTGCTAAATATGCTAAGAAACCAATACAGTTCTGATCGTGGTGGTCACATTTTTCCTGCTTCACATTTACAGAAATTGTGAATCTTTCATAGTTTATGCATTGTGTAGCAGAACGCATCACATTTTTGAGGCTCAAGCTTACAAAATAAATGACGAGACACTTATGAACATTGTAATTTACAAAGTGGTCCTCTCTCTGTGTCTCTATCTCTAATCCCAAACATATTTGATATGTCTTCAGGTTCCTTCTCCCACTCTTTCTTCCCACCCCTCCCACATCCTCTCTTAAAAGTGCCAACTTTCATGTTGGTATATAATTCTAGAGGTTCTGACTAGGTTCTTGTTTCATGTCTGACCCCAGACTGTTGATAGTCTGATATTAACAGTGAGAACCTCTATGTAGTCTGATATTAACAGTGAGCACCTCTATATAGTCTGATATTAACAGTGAGCACCTCTATATAGTCTGATATTAACAGTGAGCACCTCTATATAGTCTGATATTAACAGTGAGCACCTCTATATAGTCTGATATTAACAGTGAGCACCTCTATATAGTCTGATATTAACAGTGAGCACCTCTATATAGTCTGATATTAACAGTGAGCACCTCTATATAGTCTGATATTAACAGTGAGCACCTCTATATAGTCTGATATTAACAGTGACATGTCTATATAGTCTGAGTGAGACAGTGAGAACCTCTATCTAGTCTGATATCAACAGTGACACCTCTATATAGTCTGATATTAACAGTGAGCACCGCTATATAGTCTGATATTAATCGTGAGAACCTCTATATAGTCTGATATTAACAGTGAGAACCTCTAAAAAGTCTGACTGTTGCTCAGCAGATCTTATCCTTTACATTTTTGCAAATGGACAAAATCTAATCCCACACTGGATATATAATCCATCAAATAGTAAGAATGTGAAAGAGTTGAAATTTTAGCAAGACAATGTGATATTTTACAGAATGTGCTGTACCCTGGTGAACTCCTAATCACTTTCTATTCGGTGGAAGATGTAAAGTAGAATACATCCATCAATGTGCTTGTACATATTTGCAAAGTTTATTGGATATCATGAATTTGTATCATTTCTATTTCCAAATTTACTGCGGGGGTGAAGCAGTGGAGTACTACAGTATATTAGTTGTTCACTCATCTGGCACATTAAGAGTACATTTTGTTTCAAAGATCATTAAGTGGATGACAAGTAAAACTGCCAAAGCAAATCAATTTAAAAGTCTACATTTCTCAAGTACCTGAGAAATTTACAAATAACTTAAGCCCAAATTTTTCAAGTCTCTGAGAAATTTACTTTGTTAGAATGTGCCAAAATCCAGCCTAGAAGTCTGTTGGATGCAGGGATAGGATTGTTTTTTCCCCCTTACACAATGCTTATTACCAATCTTAGTTTATAAACCTTCACCACAGGAGAGATTTTTCTCATCATATTATAGAAATGTACTTTCATTAAGTGTGAAAATGTTGATATTCTGCATTTTGATAATAATCCCTGCATTTGATATAGCGACTATCACATCTTCGAGATGTCTCAAATATTATAATATATAATGTATTATATACAAATTGGTTAGACTCAAACCTCAATTATGTACAGCAGTGCAAGGACTCTATATTGTATGTCTTTCACACATGATTCAGTAGTAGGGCTAAATGTCAATAGTCTGAAGCTGTCTTAACGTACATTTTTAGAGTTTTAAAACTTATTTATTAATATTATTTGCATGTTTAAACCAAACACAGCTTTGTTTCTGATCAAAAAACAAAGGGATTATCTCCAATAATGCCTTCAAAATTCTGGGGGTAATTCCTTCATCAATAATAATAATGGTCACTCAATCCACAACTATTTGTGGGACACTGCTGTGCGCAATTGGCTGCCACGTTTTGCCCACAAAATATGAAGTCAATTCACTTTACAGTACATTCTGCGACGTGCTTTGAGATGCCTTGAAGACGGGATAAGGCGCTATATCAAATGCAGGGATTATTATTATAATGGATTATTAAATAAGAGAATTGAAAGCAGTCATGTAAGGAGGCCATATGTTGTAACGGCCCCGCTCAGTGCGCACACAGACTCCAACCTGTATATAAATTCTGTATAACTATACTGCTTTAACATATTTTGAAAATAACACTGAGCCCTACACACATGCAGTCTTCTGATCACATTCAGTCAGGAGTTGATGTAGCCCTTGGGTTATGAATGTTAAAACTGCAATATTCCTGCAACTGATTGCCATTGAATAGCACCTGCAGCATTGAATAGAATTTACTGCACCTGCAGTAAAGTTTTGGGTACCTATAAATCAGAGTTGGCTGGCCTTTTCTCTTACCACCCTTCCGCACTGCCCACAGCCAAATCCTCTTTTTTGACACAAGTGGCACATGAAGAATGGCTATTTGGGTGAGCTGCTGGATGGTTGCCAGTTGCCATGCAAGACTATGAAAGGAGTTGGTTCTTTTAGACGAGGCGGAAAAATTGACTATCATGTTGAAGGCCATTTTTGTAAATGACTCACATTTCTGAAAAGTCAAATAATGGAGCTCCCTCTGTCTTAAATGACTTACTATGTGATGTGAGCCACATAGACTATAAGCTCCCAGGTTTGATTCTGTCTGTTCTGAGCTAGCTGATTGTTGTTGGGAGAGTTGTAGGATGCTATAATTAACCTTATTGCCCTGAGAAGCCCATAGGGCTTACATTTGTGAATGTTGTCTAGTTATCACTGCTTGAAATTTATGTGGATGTTGGGTGCAGCCAGTAATGAGCTTGGTTGTGATCTGCTTCACGGTTGAATGGTCTGCTGAAGCTGATTTCCTGAGCTTACATCAGAAGAATGTTACTCGGGTGAGTTACTGAAGGGCTATGGTGCCAGTGGAACTTTTGAAGAAGAGAAAATTGGAACAGTTGGTTATATATTTTAT